TAGGCAAATGGAAAAAGAGAAGTACCTGCTAAGAACCTATTGATGGTAATTTTGGTAACATATGAAGGTGGTTGGTGAGTAAGTTAGGTAAAAAGTTGCTAGTCAAGGTAGTAAAAAGTGTTGAGGGTCTGTACATATTTTGAAATTTGAGACTACAGGATTTACTGATACATTAGACATGGCATATGAAGGAGAGAACTAAACAATATTTATAAGATTTTTGGCCTGAGAAAACAAAAAGGGTGTTTCAGCTTACTGATATAGGAAATATTTGCAGAAAACACAAAGGATAGAGAAGAGATAAGAAAAGTGAGAAGCTAGGTTTGGGTTAAGTTTATTTGCAGAAGTCTAATATGTCCAGTGATGACATGGATGTGATGTGACATGTGATGTTTCCTCAGCTGCTACCACAACAATCTCCTCCCCAGCCAACTGACAGTCTCTGCTCAACTCCGTCTGTTCTAGGCACTCTGCCTTCTTGCTTTTCCACACATTTCCCAGGCATTCTTCTGTCTCAGGGGGCTTTGCATTCGATCTTTCCTTTGTCTGAAAGGTACCTCTCCCATTTTTCCATGTGGCTTACTTCATCACTTCCTTAAGGTCCTTGCTGAAATGCCACATTCTCAGTAATGCTTTCCTCAGCGGCTATATTAAATATCACGACAATCTCCTCCCCAGCCAACTGATACGGAGTTGATTACATGGGTTCCGGGGAAATATCTGGATTGAAGATACAAATCTCAGAGTTGTCATTTTATGGATGATAATCTGTAAGACTGACTGAGATTCTTGAGAGAGTGGATGCATATAGAAGAGAAAGAGGTCTGAGAACTGAGTCTTTTTTTTTTTTTTTTTTTTTTTGAGACGGAGTCTCGCTGTGCTCCCAGGCTGGAGTGCAGTGGCCTGATCTCGGCTCACTGCAAGCTCCGCCTCCCGGGTTCACGCCATTCTCCTGCCTCAGCCTCCCGGGTAGCTGGGACTACAGGCGCCCTCCACTGCGCCCGGCTAGTTTTTTTTGTATTTTTAGCAGAGACGGGGTTTCACCATGTTAGCCAGGATAGTCTCGATCTCCTGACCTCGTGATCCACCCACCTCGGCCTCCCAAAGTGCTGGGATTACAGGATTGAGCCACCGCGCCCGGCCTGAGAACTGAGTCTTAAGGCATCCCTAACATGTCAGGTCTAGAGAGTTGAATAGAAATGGTCAGTAAACTGGTAGGCAAATCAAAACGCTATTGTTCTGGAAGCCGAGTGAGGAAGGTAAAGGAGCAGGAAGTGATTAACTGTGTCAAATGTTGTCCATTACTTAAAGTAAGATGACTAAAAGTTGATCATTGATTTGGCAATGTAATCAATAATTCCTTTCACTGCGGGAAGAAGCAAATGGAGAAACTAGAGACTCCGACAGCTTGCTGCCTCATTTTATGTCCTCCTTGTATTACCTCAACTCCTATTGTTTCCATGGATCTCTGAATTAATTTTGAAATTCTCGTTTATTTTATTTTATTTTGTTGTGTTTTATGCTCTAGTAATCAACATCTTACATCTGTGCAATATCTGATTTCATGTTGATAGTTTCAACGTGATCTTTAATGAAATTATTTGAGAAAGATAATTCAATATTATTATCATTATTTTAGAAAATGCAGCTTTTATAAATAACTGTTTATTGTCATACTGCTGCTTATTAGTGACCAAGGCTTCCTAACTCCTAGAACCTTAACTTGCACTTTTAATTTTGATAAAGAGAGTAGCTGGTGTTCCCTTGCTTGCTCTTTGGACCTTCCTTTATGCATGCCCACTTTTATTCATACCTTTTATTTATTCTCGCTTAATTCCTTGAATTTTGGTCCTCAATCCTTTCGAACAGCTGCATGCCATGACCTTTAAAGACAAATATTGATATGACTTCAGAGCTTCAGGGAATTTTGACTTATGTCAGGCTCCAAATCCAGAGGATAGTTTTCATATTTCCTGAACTCCGGCCATTTCAGAAGGATTAATTCCTTCTCACAAAGAAAAGAGACAGGTGAATAACCAGAGCTGTGAAGTTGAATATATGTGTGCCCATTCTCTTGTAACAAAGACGTAGATGTAAGGTCCGCCATCCAAGTTCTGGGCGAATTTTATACACTGTCACAGTGCATGTCCTTTCCTCTTCTACAGATTCAAGTTTGGCTTACTTCTACTCTTATAATCAAACATAAACAGTCCCTAGAATCTTAATGATCTAAGAGACCATACTGCTATGTATAGCACTCATCCATCTTCAGCTTGACTTTCCAGTGATGACCATTCACTACCACAAGTTCATGCACATAAGGATGTAGTTGGACTTACAAAATTAATCACACGTTAAGTGATAAAATATCACATGTGCCCCATACATGTGAACGATTACTATGTACATAATTTTTTTTTAAAATCATACAGATAGTGGATTTTCTCCATGTCAATTTTCCGGTTGTGATACTGTATAACAGTTATGTAAGATGCTACCACTGGGGTAAACGAAATGAAGAGCATATGGGATCTCTGTAGTAGTTCTTAAGACTGCATGCGAATTTAAATTTATCACAAAATAAGCTATTTTAATTGTAAGTATCTATTTAAAAAACTTTGCAGGTAAAATTGTGCTCATGGTCAGCTTTTCTATTCCGTGACCACCACACTGTCGTGATGCTAGGAAGGAAATATAATGGAGAAACTACTGTCTTAGAAAATATTATGCTGGACTTTGGAAGTGGCGTGGGGAAGTCACAGATGTAAATGGATAAATGGCAATTTGGAAATAGAAAGGTGGAAATGAATGTAAAATTTGATTTTAGCACCAAATATAATAGTGGTGTTTGCGTTACTATTGTGACTACAGACTCCACCTCCACTCAGCTACCATACTCCTAGTCAGGCAGCTGCTACAGAATCATGCTTTTTTTTTTTTTTTGGACAAGAATTATCTACTCCATGTATCTAGTTGGTCATTATTGCAGTTTCTGAAGCAAAACCAAATATGCTGCCCTTATTTCCATTCTCTTTTCCAGTCATCTGGCCTCTTCCTTTCCCAGAAATTCTTAAGATCATTGACTCCACTGACGGAAGTCAGGCTTCTGACTGCCTAATAAATAAGTTCACCAGTGAAAAGCCTATTTTTCATTCTGTTTAATTACAGGCTTCAGAGACACTCAAAATGGAGGGTGTCTTAGGGATAAATAATACTGTAGATTTGGTTTACTTTTCTCCTATTGGCATTGGCACCAAGCCCTTCCTCTGCTTTGAAATGCATGGCTGTGACTGTGGCTGCATACTAAACAGACCATGGTCACCACACAGTCGGCTTCACCCATCCAGATGCAGCTCAACTAGTCCGTATACTATGATGGCCAACCCTGTGCAGTAGTTTAGATAACTAACACTGCTGGTTTGTTTCTAGAGTAATCTATGTGTGTGATCATAAATGGGTTCATATATTACAATTTGAATTGGACTTGGTGAACTACACTGGAGCTTGAATTATAATATTCTCATTCTGCATTGTAGATGATTGCCTTCAAAATTGGCCGTTAGAAGTGAATGTATGTATAAAATAATTAGATGACATCTAGACATTGTAAAAAATATCAAAAATACAAGGAAGTAACAGTGAAAGTAAATTTCCTTCCCACTCTTGTTTTCTTAGTTTCCAATTTCCCTTTTACAGAGCAACCACTGTTAGCAGTTTCATGCAGAGAAATCCCATGCATATATAAGTATATATGCCTAAGCTTTGTGTATGGAGAGAATACTATAGCTCTACCTTCCTATTTTTGCATACAAAGGTAACATGATGTACACAATATTCTGTGATTTTTGTACCTTTTACTTAATAACTATTACAGACCTCTCTATATCAGCATCTGTGATCTGTCTCCACCTTTTAAAGCAGATTCCTAGTATTCTGTTAAATTTATATAACCATTTTGTACTCAGTCTGTCACATTTTCATGAATATTTGCTGTTTCCAATATTTTGTTAACACTAACAATGCTCTGATGAACATCATTGCATATAATAATTTGTGCCATGTGTAAGGGGTATGTTCATGTATCTTGCGAGGAGAATTCTTGCTCTCGGGGCATATTTATTTTTTATGTTGATGTATATTGCCTACTTGTTTTCCAGATAAGCTGTACAGTTTTCCCAAACATATGAGAGAGTATTTGTTTCCCCATATTTATCCCTCCTCCCTATAGTATCAATTTGTTGAATTTGCCAATCTGATTATAATTCTAAGGTATGTTTATCTAATTATGACTGAAGTTAAGCATCTTAACAATCATTCGTTACATTCTTTCCACATAACCATTTAGTTCTTCATTGTACCCTGAAAGATATCCATCTTCTCTCCACTAGTTTAAAATGGAAGCTTAAATAAATTTGTTTATTTGAGTCTAAACTCTCCATTTCTAAACTCTCTATTCTTTTACATTTACCTTATTATTTACATGTATCAGTATTAATTTTTGTCAAATGCATAGATTAAGACATCTTAATATACAATAGGTTAGTGCCTCTTCTTTCTTTCAGAATTTCCCTAGATATTCTCGCTTTATTTTTCAGTGGTAGTGATGGAGTTGTTTCATAAAATAAACACTGAAATAAACCTGGTTTAAAAGAGGGATATTATCGCAATAAAACAGGGAAAGCTTTATGCCTAAGGTTGGGTTAGACCTGGAACTGAAAATGGTGTGTGGGAGAACAAAGAGTACCAACAAAGGAAGAAAATTGAATAAATGTTCCAAATATGAGATAGTGTTAGAAACTCAGAAGTTTCCTGGAATAAAACATGCACTTGGATGCGGAAAGTTATTAAGTAGCCAGCTAGTGCTGGAGGTCAGCATTTATAACCCCTACTTTTACAGGCCTTGACAAACAGTACTGAAGTTCTGACCTTAAACTCCTTGGGCTCTTAGTACCTGTAAACATGCACCCAACATTCCTTCCCCTAGCACGCACTTTATCAGTCACAAGGAGCCATTATTAATGCATGTCCTGGTAGGAAGCATAACTTACAGGGAAGCTAGTAAGTTCTGAAAAGAAGGAAATAAACACAGGCACCAAACCATGATCCTAAGCTGATTGTCCTTTAAATATGTCAAGATCCAGACTTTTCAGTGTCACTTCAGTGATCTCAACAATAGGGATCTTGTGTTTGCCACTATTCCAGGTAACTCTCTCTCTTTCTGGGTTAAGGTTTCCAGAGGTACTCTGAGGACTTGATTTGCTATAGGTTTATATGTGAGCAACTCAACTGTTCTACATTTAAAAGATTTCTTTCAAGTGTTACTAGCATCTTATGATTTCTTGTATTCATTGGTCAGAGGGACAAAACAAAATGTCCATGGCATTAGTCTTATTTCTCCTTTAATTAGTTCTATTGCTACTGAAATAATGTGATTGCAAATTTAATCTTTGTTTAACTTTGCTATGCTGTAATTTTTTTTTTAATTCAAAATGCTATTGACACAGAACAAAATGCTATGGCTGGATTAATTTAAGACGTGTTTACTATTGCCTGCAACCATACTGGATGCTTGACAGTTTTTCAATGCTGACTGATGTAGACAGAACCATTTTAGGATTTATTTCAGTTCCTCTGCTCCAGCATCCCTTTCTGACTAATACATGCATCTCTATATCTGTGCTACTTCAATGTAAGGTACCTGAAATATTTAGATCTAAAGTAAATTATGGCTTTTCTTACCTCTTCATAATAACTGGAAGTTTGAAAGGTAATGTGTTGGCAGTGAGGTGCTAATAATTTCATACTGTGTACTATTGCTAGGTTACAACACACACGAAAGACATGGAAGTGACCAGAAAGTGAAATGCTGGCATCGTTTATCTGTTAAGCTGGATCCCAGATGATTTCATCCACTCATAAATAAACTTTCTTTATGGACAAAATGTGAATGTTCACTTTCCTTTCACTTAGTATGCAAATCTATTTGCAGCATCCTAGCAAAAAAGAATGCAACTCATTTTCTGTGCTTATAAATTGGTCATTACCATGCTCTCTGATGGCCAATTCATGGCTCCATCTGCAACTCCACAAATCTCTTTGCCCAGATAAACTTGGTGGAGTAAATACAAGGTGCTGAAGGAGATGTATTTGGGATTAAGGGGGGAAAAGACACATCTCACATAGAAATCCCAAGTCTATCACTTTAAATTTTGTAACTTCTTTTACTTTTATTTGCATGTTATAGTCCAGGAAAATAAATACTTCAACTGACCTCATCAACTAAGTATTTAGAGCTACATATAAATGCCATTTAAAGACTTTCTCATTGTGCAAGGAAGGAGTCCTGGTTCAAAGGGTCAAGCAAGTAAACAGATAATAAAACCTTTAGAAAGAAGCACCTTTTTCCTTGTGATTTGGTGTATGAGATGTTGTAACCTGTGACACTCAGTGCAGAGAGCTAAGAGCATTATTTTAGAATGCTTATAGTATTGGTTTTTTCAAACAAAGCAAACAAAATGATTACTTTTTTCCTCTTCTCTGATAAAGAGAAGACTGTAAATCTCAACTGGAATGTCATGTGATCTTAAATGGATCTTACCCTTAGAGCAGGTTAAAGTCACCCTTTCATGAATATATATTTAATACCCATTAATGCTGATAGGATTGACTTCTGTTTCCATGTATGTACTTGGAACTTTTTTTTGCGTGAAAATAATACTCACTAATAATGAACCGCTGTCCTCCAGCTAAAACATGTAAAGAAAAAATGCAAGGTGCACAAAAGCTCTTTAGAGCAAGCAAAATCTGCGTATAGAAAAAACAAAAATTGTCGTAAAATCCATTTATATTGGTATGTAGAAATGGAATCTGGTTCAAAACATATATCTTCTGCCACTGCTAAGCTTAAGAATCCACCCAGAGATTTTTTTCAATTAAAATTCTGTGTACCAACAATAAAGTCTGCTACAGAGCTTTTAATTAAAAAAGCAAACGAAATGATATAAACCCACATTGTCTCTAGGCGCTGCTTGTATTAAAGGATTAGATTGATGAGATGTTTGGATTTTATTGTTCTACAACATGTGTTTCAGTTGGTGCTCTCGGACCTACCATGTGAAGAAGATGAAATGTAAGTAAACACCAAAAAACTCCATGTTTTTATTTAGCATTAAAAAAATTCAAAGTATAAAAAAGGCTCAAGTCATTAGAAAAAGCCCAGCTGAGTTACAAATGATCATTATAATCAGAAGAAAAGTAAATAGTTTGTAAATGCAGATTGCTCAATTTTTTTTAAACAGGAAAGATAATTTTCATTACGATCAGCTTTGTTAAATAAATAAGAGGTCTAGCTGATTTCTAGATATTTTTGCGCACTGAATTTCTCTTCCTCAAGGTTTCAAGGGTATTTTAAGTTCATAAAAGAATCACGATGTTATCTATGGCTGCATCCACACTCAAAAATCACAGTGACCAAGGGAGGCAGTTTTCTGTATAACTCAGTTTAAAATACAAGCAAGTTAATCAAAATTCTAACCTGTACTGTGTGTATATTTCAAAGTCCTCGTGATATGAATTATGTGAACAATTGACTCAGTTTTTTCACTTTTTGTGCTATAGACTTAATGGTTCTCAGAATTCTATTCAGGAGATGAAGAGAAGGTTCCATTCATAATGGTACCGATAACTAATATCTGTAATTCATTGTGATTTAGTGTCAGAAAAGCACTTCCACCCAGCACTATCTTCTCCTGGTTGCAGCCCTTACTGTTAGTCAGCTGTTTTCATTGCCTGTTACCCTCAAAGCCATGCTCCGTGTATAGCAGGAGGCTTATGCTTGTATTGCACAGCAGGGATTGGGACCATTCACCTGTTTCTGGTAGATCATCTTATGGTTAACAATCTGCTTATTAAATTTGTGCTGCTCTTTCAGCTTTTGCGTGGCTCTCGATTGCTATTTCTTTACGTTAATTTTGGAACTGCTTTTTCACTCTGTCTTATGCTGTTTGTGATGTAACAGAGGATTTGATTGTTTGCATGCTTATCTGCCTCCGGATTTCCTGGCTGCCCTTATCTTATCTCCTCATCTTCTGCCTTTGACCCACACTAACAAAATAAAGAAGTTCAGAATTGGAAAGGATCTTAAATGTTGAATCTAACTCTAATCAACGTGACAGAAAAAATATGATATTAAGAAAGTTTTTATGCTGACTTTAGAGCTACCGAGGCTACTGCTCTCCCTTTTAGGTGAAGGAATTGAAACCTAAGAGAAATAGTAAATTAGTAGTAGGGCTTCAACTGGTACTTAGGTATCACATTCTTTGGCTACATCATTTTGCATCTAAGTGTCTGTAATGTTTGTCATTATTTAGTACAATTGCTTTTGAGTAAAAACAAAACAAAACAAAACCCTCAAATGAAATGTAAATGGGCAGAAAATAAAAACAAAAAAGAGAGTGGCTGGGAATGTAGGGTGGTCGTATGAGGTAAGAAAATGTATTGAAGATGGGCACAATATCTCAAATCTTTTGTTATCACAAGACAGTGTCAGTAGAATGAATCTATAAGGAAAGTCACGCTGTTTTCTGCAGGAGTAAAAAGTCCCCTCCAACAAAATCCTCTTTCTCTAACTATATTTATACAAGAGACTTCAGTTTAGAATCGCTCCTTTGATCTGGGACATTATCTCCTGTTAAAATACACTACCCAGCCAAGAGACCATATTCATCCATTTACCAGCACTGCTATTAGACAGTAACACACAAACATGGCAGATTACAGTGAAAAGGACCATAAAGGTGGCCTACTCCAAATGTCTTTCAGAAATAAGAAACAAAAGGACAGTAACGTGTCCAAAGTTCACGTGCAAAATGGACACCGGAAAGGGAGACTTGGATTGGAATGCAAGGGAGTATCAAAGTAAAAACACGAAACACGGGTCGCCTAGGTAGAGGCCATGGTGGAGGAGGTGCTGATTAGCTAGAAATAAAAACATTTGTATTAGTCAACTTTCATGTTCCAAGAATTGTGCAAAACAATTTGCATATATTTTCCATTAAAAAAAAAAACTGGTCGATCGACCAGGTGCAGTGGCTAACCCTGTAATCCTAGCACTTTGGGAGGCCAAGGTGGGTGGATCACCTGAGGTGGGGAGTTCGAGACCAGCCTGGCCAACATGGTGAAACCCCATCTCTACTGAAAATACAAAAATTAGCCAGGTGTGGTGTCACACACCTGTAATCCCAGCTGATCAAGAGGCTGAGGCAGGAGTATCACTTGAACCTGGGAGGTGGAGCTTGTAGTGAGCCGAGATCGCACCACTGCACTCCAGCCTGGGTGACAGAGTGAGACTCCGTCTCAAATAACAACAAAAAAACTGGTCTATTTTATTATTACCTATTTAAATTTGTTTTCAAACACCAGGGTATGTTTTTCTGATCCAATCCAATTATTTTACTTTTATAACTCTATTTTTAACATGAACAAAGCATTGCTGTGCTGTCTTTGTATAAAATTTAAATGCTATCAGTAATTTATTTTATGAAATAAAACATGACAGAGCCCCTCTTATCATACTTCTGACTTAGTCCTCTTCTGATAAATTGCCAAGGACACTGATGTGCATGAATCTACAAAAATAGATTGATTTATGAAACATAAATATGACTATACATATAAAAGATTCTATAAATTAATTGCATTGATAGATTTTCTAATGACGTACCACATCTTGCTTGGCTTCGATAAAGAGAAATAGTTTACTCAGGAGTAGGAAAGCAAGTTAAAAGGCAGAACTTGGACTTGGACCTGGGACTGACTCCCGAGCCCAGAATTTCAACCACAAAGTTATATTGTATATCCAACATTTAATCAATTACACATCTGGTGAAATACCTGAGAGATACACAGTCCATTCATTCTTTGAGATAGTGTACAATTTACTACCAGTTTCTGGGTGATATGATTTGTGACTCATCCGTCCCTCAAATTACTGTAGCTGAATTGTACTTTGGCCTATGTTGAGAAATGACTTTTTAAAAATAACAAAAAAAAATCATGAAATTTGTTGTTGAATTTATTCTGAGAATACTATGGAAAACACTGTTCTTACGTTAACAGTGCTCTCTTTGTGAGGCCTCATAGCTTGAATTTTTCTCTCGGTTCTATGCCAGGAATAGTTGTACATCTGGTGAGTAATGCTGTTCATTTTGTTAATTTTAGAGGACACTACATAACCAATATTCTCTCTCATTATGTTAGCTGCTAGGAAGCTTAAGTCAGATCTACAGTTCAATTCAAATTTTATATATGGTATTTACTATATTCGGTTTACAAACTGATCTCACTATTGGCCTATTCTCTTTGTCTGATCCTCACCAGGCTCTCATTTCCATTTTTAAAAAAATTTTTAGTATTTCCTTAAAGCATTTGGAACACGGGATATTGGATTCACTCAGGCAATACTCCACACAGTAATATGAGGTTAGAACTGGCTATTACTGTTCCCAGTTGCACCACTACATGGTGCTAAGAGACATGGACTCTGCAGCCAGAACAGTTGAGTTTAAAACCTAGTTCTACCACTTCCAGCTATGCTAACTTGGGCAAGTTACTTAATGTCTCTGTGACTGAGTTTTCCCAGTTGTAAAAGGAGAATTATAATAGTATGACCCAAACGTATAGTGATGGAAGTTTGAGAGTCCGTTATTTCACATATAGTTACACATCTGATTTTAGAAGAGTGTCTGCCCTAGAAAATGCTGAGTGACGTGACAGAGAAACCAATGGAGCAACTCTGCATATTTCTTCCTGAATTTATCAAATTCATAAATGTATAGTTAATCTAAGGTCCACAGATTCTCAGCACCAAGAAGAAGAATAAAGATCAACTCATCTCACCATCCGTGTAGCACAGAAATCATCTCCATGACATCAAAGTAACAAAAGGAAATCATTCTGATAAGGACAGAAATTATCTCCTTCAACAACGAATTCTAGATAATTCTTATTCCAAATGTCTTTCTCACACATTAGAGTCAGCTCTCACCGCCCCCGATGATTATATTTCTTTTTAGCATAATCATACCGATTTGACCAATCTCTGAGGAATAATTTCATTTTCAAAAATATAACGTTTCCCATACTGACTATCTTGGAAGTAATATTTGAGTAATTAGAATAATCTTAGTTTTTTAGGAACTCAAAAAGTATCTGTTTAAAACTTGAATTTAAGAGAGAAATGGAAATAATGTTTAGGGAGGGGAGCATATGGAGCCAGAAGACACATGTGTAGTTCTCTGACTAGGTAGTGACCTCCCCACTTCCTTTCTCCACCTTAAGTCTTAGTGGTACACTGTGCAAAATCCTAAAGGTGAATAAGCGATCTCAAAGGTGCCTGCAATTTAGAACTTACATGATTACTGCATTTCTCCAGCTAACTGCTTCCTAGCCATGTTATTGCTTATCAGAAGCTCCACCAGAGGGTGCACCAGCTCAGAAAGAAAAAGTGAAACAAGTCGGTTTGGAAAATTGTTAGCCCAGAAAGAAAAAAAACAGAGGGCCTTAAAAATTAGATTTAAGAAACAAAATGAGGTGGTTAATATTTAGAATTGAGTTCAACTATAAGTAAAGGGGCTATTTTAAAATAGAAAAAAAGAAAAGGAAGAGGAGGGAGATGGAATAATCCGTATTCCTGGTCATGAGCTTAGATGTCACAATTCAAAACAAAACAAACAAAACAAAACAAAACAAACCCTTCTGCTTTATTCACTGAATCAGGACACCAAGAGAATTTCCCCACTTCTGCCTCTTAAAAAATCTGTATTTTTAATGTTTTAATTTTCTAACGTAATATTTTAAAGTTCTTTTTACTACAAAGTGATTCATGTACATTACAATAATTCAAACAATAGTAAAGGGATAGAGTTCTTCATAATGCCACCTTCAAGAGAAGTGGGCACTTTAGTAGTTTGGTGTATATTTATGTCTGGTAGTAATTTTGGTGAAATCATTGTACTTGTGAAAAATAATATATACAAAGTAAGATTGAAGTCTCTATACTACTTAGCAAGACTTATTTATAAGCATGTCTACATTATTTTTGATGATTTAATAATATTCCTCTGTAAGTATATCCCATTAATTATTTTTCACATCTTTTATTGATGGTCATTTGTCTTAGAATGTTTTTTAAAGTCTTACTTCAGTTGCCATTTTTTTTTTCCAGCCATACCTGTGAATTTTTTTTCTTTTTTTTTTTTTTTTTGAGATGGAGTCTCACTCTGTCGCCCAGGCTGGAATGTGGTGGTGCTATCTTGGCTCACTGCAAGCTCCGCCTCCCAGGTTCACGCCATTCTCCTGCCTCAGCCTCCTGAGTAGCTGAGACTACAGGCATACCTGTGAATTTTGCTAAACCCTCTGTGTGCTCAGAACAAAGAGCAAACAAACAAAAAACAGATAGAAAAAAAAAGCAGCAGAGATTTATACGTGGAGGGGGATGAAATCATCTGTAGGCTGGGTGATTGGTTTCTGTCTTAAACGTTTGTGATAAAATTTTTAAATGGACACTTCACATATGTTAAAAGTCATTTCTGACTGATATGATGATGGGATGACACCCTGCCTCCTCAGGGAAGCTAGACGTAATAAATTAACTGACATTTATGAATGTCTTCAAACTGAAATGAACTGAGTTATTTTAACAACGGCTGAAGAAGATATGATTAAGTATAGTGTCTTCTCAGAAGTGTATCTGACTGTGAATAACAGATTTCCACTGCTGAAGCACAGAATACCTTAAAAGTGTTCGTATACTGAGGTATGAAAAGCGTCCATCAGCCCACTTACATTTAGTGTGCCATGTTAGGCATAGTGAGGGATTCTATGCCTGCCAAGTTATACCTCCCAAAAATCACTCTGTGAACTTTGTCTGTCTGTGACCTTTTAAAACTTGTCTCAAGAATGATTGAGTTGTGGCTAGACACACACAGGAGGGTCAACTTCCTGACTGAAGGAATCCACTTCTAACTCCTTGGTAAATGGTAGGTATGGTCACATTCATTCATTTTCCTCCTAGCCTGATTTCTTTCCTCACCAATTGTATAACAAGAGTGCAAACAGTTGTCCCATGCCTCCTATTCTCTACCAAGATGTTCTTCCCTGGAGAATTTGAGTTTTACGTGACTGTGGGTTTCTAGATGAACAGTATATAGCTATAATGGTTATCTGCCTAACACCCGACACCTGTGATTTGTTGTCCCTGAAGAGTTAGTCACTGCCTTCTCAATGCATAACAGTATTTGTAACTCTAGAATCAAATCCATTATAATGCAATTATCTGTTTATATATCAGTCTGATAATTTCACATTTACTTGTATTGTCAGTGCCTTGAATTGAGTGGGCATAAACATTTGCATAATTGTGTTGGTTGCCGGGAGGTGTGGGCTGGTATGGGAATAAGTAGGTGATTGTTCTGGAGAAACAAGTGTGATCAATACCAATGTTATTGGGTGAAAGAAATAGGCTTTGGCTCTCCAGAGTTCCAGGCTAACCCTCTTCCTTTATCACCAGGTGTGTAAATTATAATGATCAACACCCTAAAGGCTGGTATATCTGGTAAGGATATCTTACTTTTGTTTTACATGACAGTTGGTGGTATATACACACTCTTTCTCCTAAATAATTCAAGATGGTACATGAAATCATACAGCTTAAGGAAAGATTAGGGGTCATGCAAATGCATATAGAAATATCACTTGCAGATTGTTGGCCAATGTTTCCTTAAACACTTCTTGTGACAAAGGGACTCACTATTTTTAAAAATAAGTTTATTCTAGAGTTGAAAATCTTTAACAGCAAAATAATTGTTATTTTTGAAAATATAGTAGAAAAAAAATTGTTATTGAAATCTCCTTAAATGACCCTCCACTGATACTAGTTCTGGCCTTAAAAGCCATTCCAAATGACCACTAGCTCTTCTATGAGATAATCCTACAGAATTTTTTTGTTTCGAGACAGAGTTTTGCTCTGTCACCAGGCTGTAGTTCAGTGGCATGATCTTGGCTCCCTGCAACCTCCGCCTCCTGGGTTCAAGCAATTCTTCTGCCTCAGTCTCCCAAGTAGCTGGGACTACAGGCATGCACCACCACATCCAGCTAATTTTTTTGTATTTTAGTAGAGACAGGGTTTCACCATGTTGGCCAGGATGGTCTCGATCTCCTGACCTCATGATCTGCCCGCCTTGGACTCCCAAAGTGTTGGGATTACAGGCATGAGCCACTGCACCCGGCCCCTTCAGAAATCTTAACCTCTTAAATCTTGACATTTGTATATTCTAAACTTAACATTGTCAGTTCACTCAATTAGCAGGTTATCTCCTTAAAGGCAAAGACCCTCTCTGCCTACTTTTGAATTCCTAATCCCAATATCTAAAGTGTGTGCAGTTGCTTAAATACTAACTGGGTGGATGAATGGATGGATGGATGGATGGATGGATGGATGGATGGATGGATACATGGATAGATGGATGGGTGGATGGATGGATGGCTGAAGGGATGAATGAATGAATGGACGGATGCATGGATGGATGAATGGATGGGTGGATGAAGGGATGAATGGATGAATGAACGGATGCATGGATGGATGAATGGATGGATGGATGTCTGAAAGGAAGAATGGATGAATGAATTAAGACACTGCCTTTTAGAATAAGCCTCCAATTTCTAAGGAGAAAATGATTATTACCACCTAGAAAGATCCATCCTCTCTGGGGCCAAAGAATATTTCCAGTTCAGTGGAAATGTATGGGTGGTGGTAGGAAATTGTTTAAGGAATTTGGTGTCCCACATTGCTTGTGGCCAGTCTAGCTGAATCCTCACCCCACTTCTAGGTAGTAATGGAAGCTCTTAACTTCCCCGCATGCTCTACCTCATTCTTTTCTCGGTTACTTTTGGAGTCAGGATCCTGCTGCTGGTTTTGGTGGCAGCTCTTCTCTGTGGAGCAGTGGTTCTCTGCCTCCAGTGCTGGCTGAGGAGACCCCGAATTGATTCCCACAGGCGCACCATGGCCGTTTTTGCTGTTGGAGACTTGGACTCCATTTATGGTGAGTTGTCTATACACTTCTGGACTCTTTTTTGATACTTTGCGGTTTTGTGGTGAATTGAAAAACTGTTCTCCCAAAAGCAGATGTCTGAACTTAGAAAAAGATGTGGCTTATTGGAGACTGATGGAGTTAATGGAGTCAAAACCATTGACTGCATTGAGGCGACTTTAAAGGAGAAAATGTCATAAGAAAGGCAATCCCAGAAGAAAGAAAATGTGTCTGGGGAACTGACGCACAGTTAAGTATAAGGAAAGCAACTAAATAGTTTGTTGTTCAGCAAGCAGAAGAGAAGAAGTATGCAGGGCTGGGCAGTCCAGGTGAATGGTAGGGTTTAGGGTACCGAAAAGCATCTCTGAGCTTTTATTATCGACCTATCTTAACTTCTATTTATAATCTCATTTACTGAGCTTTCTATGCTTTACTGAACTCATCTGAAGTAACATTGAGCAACACTTTCCAGATTGTCTGCGGTCAAGGCAGAATCTGAAATTCCGTGAAGTGGTCAGGAGAATGTCAATTTTCATCCCCTTTCATCTCAGCATTCTGATCCTGTCAGCTTCCGAGCCCCTCCCAAAACCATGCCCTTCCCTTCATTTTCCAGTTTACATAAGGAAGTAAAGACTGCAGGAAATTAAGGGCTTAGAGTTATTTGTAGCTGCCAGCCTTAACTGTGAGCAGAAGAAAAAAACAACTTACTGATTTCTGGGAGGCCGTAATTGATAGCTATTTCCTCATCTTAAGTATTGTCTCAACCAGGACTGTTGTGAGACTTTATTCTAAGGTGCTGCCTTACACACCACAGTTACCTCGAGAGTGCTTAACAGAGATAATAGCCAAAGCCGTCTATCAGAAACTTGGGCCACCATGAAATTTGCAACAGATGGAGTAGGGTGTTCCCTGAGGAAAACTAACAGCAAGATGAAAAGTGGGGTAAAAATAAACAAAAATGTGTTAACATCAAACTTAGTTTTCTAAGATAATGATTATATTCACCTCCAACATTTTTTTTCCTTCAAAAGTTATTTAACAGAGGCAACACATTATCAGTTTGGGAAGTGGTTATTTTAGGAAGGATAATTAAAGTCTCCAAAACAATAGTTCTTCCTCCTACAAAAGCACCTTCCACGGGGCATAGAGGGAAATAGGGTTACTGATCTTTTAACAAAATATGTTAGTCAAAGGAGTCAACATGATAACATTGGACTATTTTTCTTTATTTACGTAGAGGTATTTAATAAGTCAATGCAATCATGCTTCTTTTATCTGAGCTTAAGTTTCTAAAAAGAAAAATGCAGCCTAGTATTTTCAGCTCTTCTCTCACTTTGAGAAAGACCTTTTCCTCAACTATCTTGAATCTTAAAAGAATTTTGTTTTAAATTTTAAATGTATTATTAAGCTAACAGTTATACTGTTAAAATTTTTAAAGCAGTTTATGTGCCATGGTTATACACCTCTTTATCTAATGTTTTTCTATTTCTTGCATGGCAGTTTCCGTATATGCTCTTGAACTTGGCTGAACAGTCATGAGTGTGAGAGAAGGTGTCGAGGCTGATGTACTGCTTTAGCACACTGCATGTGCTAGCACTGAGTGATGGACAATAGACTCGCATTCTCTATATTACTCTGAAATCATTCAGAACAGGCACACACACAAAAAAACAACCCCTTGGGGGTAAACTGCTTTTTAAAAAAAAAATATGGTCACAATTTTTTTTACGTCTGTCAAATGCTAAGCAGTAATTTGAGGATTTTCAGATATTATCTCTAACTCCTAAATATCAACTTGGAAAAGTGACTATTATTTATCTTAGAGGATGTTATTTACTTCTCTCTCTCTCAAGGGGAAGCATGCATGCATAGATGTTTACTGCAAGTCAACGAATCGAGCTTAAACTGTCCAGAATTCGGGATAGGGAACCTATGAAAACGTAGGCTGGTCACTGACAGCCCAGCCCAGCCCTGGACACTAAGTACAGCCTCACTCTTTGAACACCTACACTTTTCGATAGAGCAGCTTTTCAGTGGTAGGGCTTGTGCTCCAGGATCTTCATGCCCATCCTCACTCTGTTCTTTCCTCCCAATTCCACTGGTTTAACTTCTGGATCTCATTTTGCTCAAGAAACATTTAAACTCTTCCATCCTGAGATGCACTGCAAATCTCTCTACTATTGATTCCCATTACGTACTCTGTCCTATTTATCTTTTCTTGTGCCTACGCTGAATTGATTGTTAGGTTGTTCCACCCACTGCCCATGTTCCATCATGTCCCAGGGATGCTCAGGATGGCAGGACAGGCAGGGAACAGCCATTCATACAGTCTTTGATGTGGATATGGTGCCCAGAGCTGAGCTTTGTGGCATTCCTGTTTCTCTTCTCCAAAACAAAATACAAAAGAGTAATTTAGGAAGTGGTGATCTCCCATCTCTAGCGACTTCTTACCTAGTAATTTCTGGAAGTAAATTTCAGGCAGTCAATATTTTAAGACAATTTGAAACCTGGACCCATGCTAAATTTACGTTCCTCACTGGATCTTCATGATACCTTCACTTCTCCATACAAATGATTCTTCCTACCTAGTATTTCTATAAAAAGAAGCTGCTTTCCAAAAGGGAAGTTAAGAGAACCACTTGCTTTTGTGGCTACAGAAGGAGGTGAGGGTCAAAACCGCAGCATCTACCTCCGCAGCTCCCACAGAGTATGTGCTCACAGCTAAGAATTGAGTCCAGCTGCCTCAGGATTCATACACCCACACTGAGGTTATGGGACTGTGCTTCTGAATTTCCCTCACAGTCCCTGTACAGAAGAGAAAGAGAAAAGTGAGAAATCTCTGGAATGACACAGGTGACATGTTAGAATATAAAATAAGGTTTCTGAACTCCCTGCCATTTCTTGAGCACAAAGGAGAAGATGGGATGTTCCCCACTGAATACAGAATGTGGGAAATGCAACATTTGAAACATTTTAATGGAGAGACTAGATTTGATATATTAATGTTAGGTTCCTCCCAGAACTTAATTTTTAAAATTTTTATCCAAACTTATTTTACTTAATTATCACCATTTATTGAATACATTAATTGAAATAGCTCGGCTCTTCTGACCTGTGGAGCGAAGGTTTGACCCTCAGGATCTCCTGGAAGCTGCCCTCAACTAAGCAGAACTCAGAGGAAACTTTTGACTGAGAAACTGAGGTGGTCAAATTGTGCTAATGTTAAAATACATAAAATAGAACATTTCTTTCAATCAGAACTACTGACACTATTACATGGCACAGGTTGCCAGTTACTCTGATTAGAAATACTAAACAGAAAAAAGAAAACACTTGGCTTGGATCCTTATAAGAGGTATTTAAGGAAGGTGTTGCCAACACAGCCCATCCCAATGTCTGGTGAGATTTCCTGTCTGGGAGAGGTCTGTGGGATCTCACCCAAACACCACAGACCCCAGTAGCATTTCCTGGACTAATGTTCCTGTCTTTGCACAGTGCTCTGCTGATTCAGTCTTTAGATAACTGGTCTTCCTTCCTCTTCATAGGATCTATACCCCTGAAGTGTGGGTCCTTAGACTCGGGGCTTCTCAAAAGTCTTGGATTCAGTAGAAAAGATCCTAGCACTTACTGTGCTCAATGAACACCCTCCGTGTCCACAATATGTCAGGAAGCTCTTTACCCTTCAGAAAGGGAAAAATATTCCCTCTGATGCCCCCTGTTGTGGGCTGAGCTGTCCCCCACCCAATTTCATATGTTCAAATTCTAACCCCAGTTTCTCAGAATATGACTACATTTGAAGACAGCGCCTTTAAAAAGACAAAGACAATGAAATTAAAATGAGGTAATTGGGATGAACCTTAATTCAATATGGCCAGCATTCTTATAAGAAGATATTCGCACACAGACAGACAGGCACAAAGTAAAGACCATATAGAGACACAAGGAGAAGGGTGGCCATCTGCAATCCAAGGAGACAGGCCTCAGAAGAAACCTACCCTGCTGACACCTTGGTCATGGATGTCTAGAATCCAAAATTGTGACAAAATAAATCTCTGTTATTTAAGTGATCCAGTCTGTGGTACTTTGTTATGACAGCCCTAGTAAACTAATACAACTCCTCTCTTGGGGAGTGAGGAGGAAGAGGGGCTGTCAGAGAAAGAAGAAGAAGAGAAGATCAGAAGAAAGTCAAGAAGGCAGAGAAGGAGAAGATGCAGAGCAAGAGAAAGAGGAAGAAGAGAAGAAACAGTTTAAATCAGAGATATTTTAAGGACTAAAATTCAAACCTACTTATTTTATACAGACTCTAAATTCTTTTTTTCTTCAGCCCCACTTCCTCTTCCTGGTCACAGCTCCAGAATCTCCTCCTCTTTCTTCTCCCCTTGTTATGCTCCCCTGAACTTAACTCATCTTCTGGATCTGGTTCTCCTTCACCATCTCTGCTATAAAACAGAGAGCATCCGCTCAGTGCCCTCATGTCTTCTCAAATGGCATCATCCATGCCGTAGCTTCTGAGACCTTATTAGTTCCTTCTCTGAACTGTCAAAGATGAATAATTCTAGTATTACATGGGTGTGTTTTGTTCAGCATCCATGTTTAGATAATTTTTTTTTCATTCGTTTCAATGTTTTCTTATCTTAGTGTATCAGTCCCTTTTCATGCTGCTGACAAAGACATACCCGAGACTGAGCAATTTACAAAAGAAATAGGTTTAATTGGACTTACAGTTTCATGTGGCTGGGGAATCCTCACAATCATGGTAGAAAGCAAGGAGGAGCAAGTCACATCTTACATGGATGGCAGCAGACAGAGAGTAAGGAAAATGCAAAAGCGGAAACCCCTGATAAAACCATCAGATCTTATGAGACCTATTCACTACCACAAGAACAGTATGGGGGAAGCCACCCTGCCATTCACTTGTCTTCCGCCAAATCCCTCCCACAACACGTGGGAATTATGGGAGTACAAATCAAGATGAGATTTGGGTGGGGACACAGCCAAACCATATCACTCACTATCTTACCTAATTTAATAATGCCTTCAGAATATCTCCTAAGTGATAATACAATTGAAAACACAGAAGACTTCCTGTATTAGTCCATTCTCACATTATTGTAAATAAATACCTAAGACTGGGTAATTTATGGAAAAAAAAAGTTTAAAATTGGCTCATGGTTCTGCAGGCTGTATAGGAAGCACGATGCTGGCATCTGCTTGGCTTCTGGGGAGGCCCCAGGAAACTTAAATTATGGCAGAAGGCAAAGAGGGAGCAAGCACTTCACATGGCTGGGCCAGGAGGAAGAGAGAGGGAGGGGGGAGGTGTTACACACTTTTAAACAACCAGATCTCATGGGAACTCACTATCACGAGAACAGCACCAAGGGTATGGTGCTAAATCACTCATGAGAAACCATTCCCATGACCCAGTCAACTCCCACTGGGCCCCACCTACAACATTAGGGATTACAATTCAACACTGGATTTGGGTGGGGACACAGATCCAAATCATATCAATCTACAACCAGTTTTTCCTCCCTCTCTAAAATGTGGAAATGGGAAGTGAAAACACACATTGAGCCACAGACAGTGATTTTTTAAAAGGAATGTATGCAAATTTTTAGTAAAGATTGAGGGGAAAAAAAGAGAAAAATCATTAAAATTCTCACATGACCATCTCTATCCCAAATCTCTATTGTTTGTGATCATTGCTCAGCAGTTCATAAATCCAAGGACTATAATTATGATAGGGTAAAACAGATATTAAAAATAGTTTTTAAAAAAAGATAAGGATTTTGGTTTTATTGATTAGGTTAATTGTTTTGTTTTGTTTCTTAAATTTGTATATTAAAAGGCAGTGTCAAAGGAATTTTGGAATTTATTAAAAATGAAAGGTTATTTTAATTTTAATTACTAAAAATGAGGATGACAATAATGTTTTATTAAAAATAAAGTTGTGATGCTGAATAAAAAATCCGTATTAATGAGGAAGCAAGACATCTAAAGATAATGGAAAATGTTTGGAGTTTTGGAGGTGAGAAAAGGACAAATAGAGCTTGAGGCAGAAAAACAATTAACTATGCATTAGAAAAGAGAGAATTGGAGAGCATAGGAGAGGGACCCCCACAACTGTTTGTCCGTGTTTTTAATAAAACATAATCAATCACATAACATTTAAATAAGGGTCCCTTTGCCTCTATGCCATGAGGTCTGTGGATTGGAGCTGGGTTCCCTCAGGCTTGACAAGGCTTCCCGATGAGGTTCCCTGTCTTTCTTGAGCTGATTGCAAGATGAAGCCCAAGGGGACACCCGTCCTAGGGACACTTATCTTGGCTTAGCTTCTCATTGGGGCAGATTGCTTGATAATGCAACTATACAATCTCTCTGACCCCATTTCTTCTGCAGTTTCAGGGATAATCTTCCCTCCTTCTTATTTCTGGGAAAACAGAAATACCAGCATTCCAGCAGTGATTACATATGAGTGCTCTGAGCTGGGGAGAAAAAAGAGGGCTCCAGAGAGGTGAACAAGAAGCAAGGTCTTCCAGGCTCTGCTCTCTTCTCCCTCCAAGTCTCCCAGGATTCTTTTATTTTATGATTTTTCAGAAATGTCATTTCCCTATGTTTCATGTTGTATGTGTAAATATTCTGTGACTTATTTTCAGTAATAAAAAAGGAAGTATTTCATTCACAGATTTTCATGGAAAGACGTGATAATAGTAATGACTCATTCATTGAGCATTTCCCAGGAGCCATGCCCTGTGCTAACACTTGACATCCCGAATCTCATTTATTCTTCCTTATCACTCTATGAAAGTTCACTATCATTCTGACCACTCTACGAATGAGGGAACAAAGGCACTTAGAGATTAAGCAACGTAGTAAGTAGATGGCAGAACTGTGATTCAAATTCAGTCCTTCTGGCCACTCCCATAGAAGAGAAAGGAATGAAGTAAAGGAAAGAGGAGAAATAGGTAGAAAGAACATATAGAAAGAGGTGAAGTCTATTTGAGTGATTCTTAAAAACATAGGAAATCTCCACTCTGGCTATAAAAACTAAGCAGTAAGTGTATTGGTTTTACAAAATTAAACAATAAACTCTGATATCTTAGACAGCAGTTCTGTAAAAACTATAGGATTTTTGCTGGCATTTTTAATTCAGTTCTCTCAGTTTCTTAATTTGTCAAAAGATAGAAATGTCTGCTCTCCCCAGTATCCAATCACTTGATATTATATGTAAACATGCTTTGAAAAAAAATTGAAAACTGACATAACTTATATTTGGTTTTCAAAACTTTCTGAGCACATTGGCTTAATTATGTTTACCCAATGCCTTGTGGTTTTAATAACAAGTTTAAGATCAACAGCAAAATTTGTAGTAAGAAGATAATGAAAGTTTTCTACGAAAGCAACTATGAAGACTCTATCACTGGCAGCACAATATTGACAGTGGCAATCGCAGACATAAATTGGAGCTAGTACAAATAATAGATGTGTCAAGTAGTTTGGTTGACCATTTCTAGGCAGAAAGAGAGTTACCTTTGACTTTGTACTGAATACACTAGGTGCAGTTCACCAAGGAAATAGCCATCATTCATTGCAAGTATTCACAATGGAGGAAATTACTGGGACAACTGTATTTTACCAGTGTTAACTCTGATTGATCAAGTCCCACAGACTTATCTGACATCAACCCAAACTTACAAACTGCAAAGGGCTCTAACTCCATAATACTTTTCATTTAATAATTTCTATATTATAATTAATAATGATAATGTCTAAATCATTATTTAACTATGGAAAGAGGATGGATTGAAAAATAATATTGTAAATAAAAGAAGATGCATGCACGTTCCTAGCATTAGTACAGTTCTTGACAGATTGTAATAATAATAGTAAACCCTGATGCATAATTACTGCGCCAGACCTTATTTTAAGTACTTTGTGCTCATTTAGCCTTGCTTTTATAGAGGTAGACATTAGTATTATACCTTTATTGCCTAAGAGAAAACTGAGGCAAAAAAAATATTATGTAATAACCCAAAAGTAGACTATTTAATCAAATAGATAACTCTAAAAAAGTGCTAAACCAGAAGGTGAGACATATATTCTAAATACGCCCCACCCTTTACATACTTGAATTATTAGTCTTTGCTCTGGTACCTGTGAGATAAGAAATAAGACAAACGCAACTGTATGAAAATCCATCATTCTAAATTAACAATATCCACTTCCAAGTAATCATTTTGAGTAATCTCCATATGGATCCTAGTGAAGCAGCTAATGTCTAATATGCAACTACTCTTTGAATTCTTTTGATCGCTGTGGCATGTTGTTTGGAATATTCCTAATGGCATCAAATCTTACTCCTTTAAGGAAGGTCAGCAAACTTTTTCCATTAACAGACAGATAGAAATTATTTTTGGCTTTGCAAAATATATGGTCTAGGTGGGGACTACTTATCGCTGCCATGGCAGTACAACAGCAGCCATAGATAATACGTAAATGTATGAATAAGATTGTGTTTCGTAAATTCAATATACAAAAACAGCCGGAGGCCAGATTCAGTTCAAGGGACTAGTTTCTTTTTAAAGATGAATTTTTGGTGGTTGCTATTGTTTTGGCAAAAGGCAGTCAAAATCATTTAAAGGTGGGTAAAGATCCAGGTGAATACATCCAGGTGAATACATATTCTTTATATATAAGCATTTATATATATGTGTATATGTATGTGTGAGTGCATGTGTGTGTTTGTATATATATATAAACCATCTTTATATATATATATAAACCATCTTTATATATACAGCCATATATTGATATAAAGATGGTTATAAAATAGCACTATTTTTTTTTGTGTTACCCAAACACAATCTTTCAAGGAAATACTAACAGGCAATTTCCAAAAGAGCCATTAGAGTAAGCATATTGCCTTTCTTTCAAAGTTACCAGTTAGTGAAAGAAAAGGCCAGTTTGTAATAGTTAATGTCCTGTATTATGCCTAATCTAGAAGTCACCAGCTTTGATTTCAAAGTATTTTTTTAAATTTTAGAATATATTCCTTTATTGTGTGTGTATACTTTAAATACATGCTTTTCATCACTGAGCTTAACATTTTTACTATTTACTAAAGAGGAATAATTAATTACTTGTATTAGTTGAAGTTTGCAACCATAAATGTAAAATAATACAATTTCAAAAGTGACACTTTAATTTTTCTAATGCAACTAACATTTCCCATGTTGGGAGCATTAGCTGAAATGCTATTAGTGTTGAGGAATCCTGTTTTGTGATGTACAAAAGAGGATATTCCTTCTAGTTTCAGCTGCTAAATTGTAAATGCTTCTTGATGGGTTAGACAATGATGATTTCATCGATTCAGGTAAGCGATTTTTTTTTTTGCTATGGTGACTAAACCTTCCCTGCAAAGAGCAAGATAGTTGTAATTTTTTCTCATAGATACAAATAATTTCCTGTTGCTTCAGAAATGCCAGATTTTATTGGGCAGTTCCTGTACCTATGTTTTATGCTCACTAGAAAGATTACAAGTCTTCATCTTTCTCTTTCCAGGGACAGAAGCAGCTATGAGTCCACCTGTTGGAATTCACCTTCAAACTCAAACCGCTGACCTATATCCTGCTCCTGCTCCATGTTTTGGCACGTTAGGCTCCCCACCTCCATATGAAGAAATTCTAAAAACAAGCTGATTTTAGGTGTGGATTATCAATTTAAAGCATTAACGACATCTGTAATTCTAAAACATCAAATTTAGGAATAGTTATTTCAGTTATCGGAAATGTCCAGAGGTCTATTCATATACTCTGAGAAAAATTCATTCCTGTAAAAGGGAACTTTTCTTTTCTCCCGGTATTGGCATTAAAGAGCTCCAA